GATGTAAGTATTCATCTTGTCACGCCGTCTCTTTTCAATCTCGCTGTGATTTTGTCTAGACAAAAGAACTATGTTATTGAAACAGGAATTATAAATTTCATGTCATATTACTATATATGAATTCTGCATTTTACAATGATAGGCCCTTGTAGTCATGCATTTTACATCGTAAGATATGCAAATATATATTTTTGTTTTTTATCTAACTAAGTGGTTACCAGGAAGCTTACTAGCATTTAGGAGGAGCCCATGGGTTCCTGGGTGAAATACATATTCTAATGTCCCAGTCAGCTGTAAGTCACAAGTACTGACCATAAAAACATTATAAGCTGGTTTTGACCTTAAAACAAAACTATCTTAAAGAAGGAAGGGTGCCACATTTGCTTGTGAGATTGTCAACAATGTAGTGATCCTAAAGCTTGAAAGGGAGTCTGAAAAAGCACAGAAAATGACAGTGATTTATGAAGCTGTTCATGATACTTACTTTACTTGACCTTTCATGATGATTCGCTTTCCCCCAAATTCTCTGTAATTTCAAAAGRGGATTATTATGTGATTATTACAAATGTAGATGCAGCTCTTATGCATGTTAATGTCACATACAACTACATGTACCACTAATCAATTTTTTTCTCAAATGCAAAAAACTAGTAAGTAAAGCACAAAAGTAAGAAAGAAGTGGATAAATCAAAGTCCAAAGACAATTTTGTTATCTTTGGAATCAAATTGTTTTATCTCCCAGATATGGACCGTACATTACAAAATTGCAAGTGATGCATTCTGTTATGATTTTATAGTTTTAAATACAAAACATTACAAATAACAATTTTGCTTAAAACTGTCAAAATGACACAAGAATCTAACTTAATTGGGGAAGAGGAAGTAGAAGGAGGAGCAGAAATAAAAAAAATAGCAAATTGAAGAGTATTCGAATATAAAAAAGCAAAAATGGGACTTTAAGAAGGAAATGAAAGAAATAAACTTACTTGGAATCAGCATTGCTGCCGATTTCASCCATCTCAACATCGCTGTCATCACTATGAGAGGAAAAGGAAAACAATTGCCCACTTAAAAAGCTTTATTAATTTGACCACAATGTACTTATAAATTGACATTCAATTCGACCAATTCTAAATTGTGTGCAAAAGCAAATACGTATTTTTTTTTTTTGCTGTGGATCAATTACACAGTATAGATAAAAGGCCACTCACTCTTGAAGAGGCTGTTGTCTCTCCCGCTTACGAAAGTCCATGTTGAAGACCGCTATTCCGTTCTGCAATGCATTCACTGTTCTTAATATTGTATAATAGGCAAAAATCGAGGTCACAGATCTCGAAGAAAATTGGTWAAATAAACAAAATAGAGAATAATTAATCTAATGAATCGAAAAAMTCGTTTTCAGACATTCAAATAAGAAACAAAATGTCACATAATGGATATAAACAAGTCAATCACAATGCAAAACCTCCATCACCGGAGGCTCCGGTCGGATTGTGTGGGATGGGAAGGGTGCAAAGGCTCATGGGTGTCTATAGCAARTTTACACAGGGATCCCAAATATATATACTTTTTTTACTGTTTGGATTTAATATTAATTGGCTATGAAATTATAAGAAACTATGATATTTATTAGTTTTTTGGTAAGCTGAAATTCTAAAGCAATCAAAATATTTTTCTTGTCTGCCAGCGCCATTTTTTTCGATAAGTCACTTTGTCGAAGAAAGAAGAAACACCTAAGATAGAATCTAAAATCAAAAGCAAAAACTACTAGAGCTATGCTAAAGCCAAGAAGTTTGCAAAMAAACTTGTGAATATTAAAATTATTGAAATTGAAATTAACTTCGGCCTTTTTCAGGCCTTTGAAAACGCAAACAAAAGCCAGTAAATGAACCAGAAAAGACGCCAAGAAACTAACTTTGTTTGCTATGGTCATTATTCTTAATTGAAAACATATGAAATCACAATTTAGCATACTTTTTGTCTACTTTTGTTCGGAGTCTGRACAGCGTGCTCTGTCACGCTGTAAGCTGTGACTCTTTTGTTACATCTCCATTGTTGAACTGTCAAGTGTTTCGTAGCAACCCAAGTCTTCAATTTGTGATTGGTTTATTCATTCTTCCGTAGCGATATTTAAGACAACGCATTCTTAATCACCGCCTCTTTTACATCATCCAAGGCCACGTGTGCAACTTGTGAGTTTTTCTCTTACTTTTACTGCCCTTTTCTCCCCTTTTTAACTCAAATTATCGTTACTTAAGCGAATTGTGACATTCGTTGAACTGTTTTCTTTAAAATTTGTATTTTAGATCACTGTTGAATCGCTCGGCAACTTTTCAAATATGCCTCCAAAGAAGGACGAAAAGATCCACATCAATATTGTCGTCATCGGTCATGTCGACTCTGGAAAATCAACTTCTACTGGACATTTGATCTACAAATGTGGTGGTATAGACAAGCGTACAATCGAAAAATTCGAGAAAGAAGCTGCSGAGGTAAGTGTTTGAATGATTACCGGCTTTTCAATGCCGGGTCACGAGGCAAGGGTAGAAGGCCGCCATTATGAATCGAAGGCGTTTGTCTCAAAAATACGTAGATAATTCTTTAAAGTAGTTTCATAACACCTTTTTATCAAAAAATATTTCAGTTGTGTCAATTTTTAAGCYTAATTGTAGATCATAAATGCTTCGTTGTTTTGCAAGGCGCTTCCTTTCGGTTTATGCCAAGATGGCGTCGAAGGTTCGAAACCRTAAACGAAGCGAATTTGCCTTTGACGCAACTTTGAGAAACTAGTTGTCTTTTAAATTCAATGGAAAAGCTTAAGGACGACTTTATAAAGATATTAAGGTTAAAAAGGGTTGTTATTTTAAGAAATTAAGTCGAGAATCTGGTTGAACTTGGAGTTCTTGCGCAATGAAGTGAGTAAGAAGAGATTGTATGGCGGAATGTCTCGAAGAGGTGTATCGAACGTCAAGTAATCTGTCCCTTGTGGGCTTGTGTTTGTTCAAAAACAAGAAAAATAGTTATTTTAATTGTAATAGTAGCTTCGAAGGGCCGTCTTCTTGGSGTTGAAAAACATGCGTGCGATTTTTTAGCGGTTCATAGAAGCCAGTTTAGTTTCGCCTTGGTTCTGTGGCGTGGCTATTTCTTTACGTTTTTGATAATATTTTAGTTTTATTAGTCTTGCTGTAAGGATAATCAAAGCTAGAAAAGAGTTAATGTCCAAAATCTTGAATGCAGCTTAAACAAAGAGATTGTATCCAAATGAATCTATTATGGGCGACTTTAGACAACAAAAATTCACTATTATCTGACCTTTTCCTGTTTTCTATGAACTAMACAGTCCAATTCATCTTTAAAGCTTTTAATTCGTTGCTAAAACCAGAGATTTTGGCCAAAAAAAAATAGTTTTTTTAACTGCACGTGGCCCAAAACATTTGCATAATTTATGCGAAATTTCGATTTGGTGTGACGTAATCATGATGGCATGTGTGGTGCAATCGTGTTACGGAAATAACTATTTTACGTCATGAGCTTTTTTCCTTTATTTTTAACACCAGRAAAATGCTAAGAAAAGATTTTTYAATTTTTGTCTAAATATTGTAAAAAAATATATACCATTTTTGTGAATTGATCTCGTAAATGTGGGAAGAAGAATGGATCAAAACTAGTCTTCATCAAATTTTGCAGTGTGTTTTTGAATGATATACAAAAGATTATGGATGATGATCGTCTTTGCTTAATTATGAAACTAGATTTAGCTTTATGAATAACAAAGAGAGAAAATTTCAAAGATATTTTTCATTTAAGCTTTTTGRGGATRSAATATTYWKTAAAAATTAGSTTCAGAGATWGCTAAAAATGTTCAAAAGATAAAAAAGTGTTTYGWRAACACAGTGATATCTCTTACATCCCTCAAAGTTGCAGAAAATAACTAGTTAACATAAGKATTTTGTTCCTTCTAGATGGGCAAAGGTTCTTTCAAGTATGCTTGGGTATTGGACAAACTTAAGGCCGAGCGCGAGAGAGGTATCACCATTGATATCGCCCTGTGGAAATTCCAAACTAGCAAATATGACATTACCATCATTGATGCYCCTGGCCATCGTGATTTCATCAAGAACATGATCACTGGAACATCACAGGTAAGCTTTAATCATTTAAATTTGTATTGCGTTATCTGTTTATGATCTTAGTTTGCACCAGGATGATATTATGTAATTAATAAATAAATAATTACAGTCAAAAGATATGCCCCCCCCCCCTGGATTTTTCATTTTACTTTTCGTTGTCACACTTCAGTTGATTAATTCAAAATTAAATTCAAATCTTGAACTCTGATAATGACAGAAAACAACACAGCATTTCAGCTTTTTGAGACCGTCRTTCCTTTCTCACGAGAAGGAACAGATCCAACCAAATTAACAGACAGCATATTGCAATGCATTGACCTGTGGAAATTACAATAGAACAGCATGTTTGCAAGAGAAATATAAAGAAGGCTTTATGAATTCAAATTTGATTTAAATAATGTAATGTTGAATCGACTGGTAATCAAGTAATGAATTGAATAATGGTGTTTTGGGAGGGTGCGCTTCATGTCTTTTGACTATAATGATAGATGATGTATGTTGTACAATTTTAGTGTTTGTACTGTACAATATCAACAGCTATAATGTGAATTTTCACTGAATAACTATGCTTTGCTATCAAAATAYCGGGTAAATCTTATGAGGATTTTTATTTTGTTTTTCGTTAGGCTGACTGTGCTGTCTTGATTGTTGCTTCTGGAACTGGTGAATTCGAAGCTGGTATTTCAAAGAACGGCCAAACCAGAGAGCACGCYCTTCTCTCTTACACCCTTGGTGTTAAACAGATGATTGTGGGATGTAACAAAATTGACAGCACYGAGCCACCATACAGCGAGCCCCGATTCAACGAAATCAAGAAAGAAGTATCAAATTTCTTGAAGAAGACCGGCTATAACCCAAAAGCTGTCATCTTTGTACCAATCTCAGGATGGCACGGTGATAACATGATTGAACCATCGACAAAGGTTTGTGAACAATAGACCACTTTCATAAGTACCTTGCATCGATTTTATATAATTGACAATGTGGAAACGTTTGACACCATTATATGGAAGAACTCTCAGAATTATATATTTTATAAGTTTTAACACTGAAGTTATGGAGGGATTCAAGATACAAGTATTTGTATGAAATTCTTTGCTAAGGCCTAGGTAGACTTGTTTTAGTGTTTTTGTGCCTTTTCTAACCATTATTGATGCAAGAGGATTCAATATTTTTTTCTGATTGTTTTTTTTTTTTTTGTCATTATAACATTATGAATTTATCGATTATATGCTAAGTAGACACTTGTAAAGCGTGATTCGGGCTAGCCTTTTTGGAAAGTTGAGAAAGACTGGAAATTATGCAATCTCTGAGTTAAAAATCCATGATTTTTTTGTACAGGATTTGAACCCATGACCTTTGCGATACCGGTGCAATGCTCTACCAACTGAGCTATCAATCTGGATAAGACCCTTAATGTTTGGGGCATTTTGCATATACTGGTTTTGAAATTGCAATCATTGTTACTTTGCAGATGCCTTGGTTCAAGGGATGGACTGTTGAACAGGTCTTAGAAAAAGGCAAGGAACCTAAGGTTTCAAAGGGCAACACCCTCCTAGAAGCTCTTGACACTATCATCCCCCCAAAGAGACCCACTGACAAGCCTCTTCGACTTCCTCTTCAAGATGTGTACAAGATTGGAGGTGAGTTAATTTGTTCTTAGAAGAAACAAGAAAATCATTACCTAAGTCATGTCATTAGKAGATGAAATCGATATCTCCATATGACCATGCAATATCTTTAATCATATAAAAGTCATGAATAGAACAAACACAAAATAATGGCTTAACTTCAAGGCTGAGGTTTTCAACAAAAGATAAAACTCCAGCCTCGAAATCAAACTATTCTTTCATGTTCACCCAAGCCAATGTGGGTTGGCCTATTGAAAGCATCTTTTTAAAAACATAGTTCCCTTCAAAATACAGAATCTACAGTTTTGTTTTTGTAACCAGAGAAAATGTTTTAGTGACAGATATTTAAAAGTTTTTACAAATGAGAATATAATAAGTTGTTTTCATTTCGTGTCAATCAAGAGTCACTCTAAAGTATCTAATATAAAACTGGTTGTCAATTACAACTAAGAGATACCCCATTAGGAAATTGAAATGTGTAATCTCTAACATAACGATAACTTGTCCTATTTTAGGTATTGGAACTGTCCCAGTTGGCCGTGTGGAGACCGGTATCTTGAAGCCTGGTATGGTTGTCACTTTTGCACCAACCGCAATCACTACTGAAGTCAAGTCTGTCGAGATGCATCACGAGGCTCTCACTGAAGCCATCCCCGGAGACAATGTTGGTTTCAACATCAAGAATGTCTCCGTGAAAGAGATCAAAAGAGGAAATGTTGCTGGTGACAGCAAAGCTTCACCACCAAAAGCAGCTGAGAACTTTGATGCCCAGGTAAACCTTTAATCAGTATGATACAGCAAGCACAGGAAAACCTTGAAATAAAGCCAAACTTAAAACAAGCAAATAGCGGTTATTAAGAGACACTAGAAAGTTTAAGAACCACATTTACGGCTAACAGCAGAGTTGTACCAATGACCTAAGAATTTCGTGCCTGACCTTGTACTCAGAATAATCCACTCCTGTGTTGAAACTGTGGGTGCTTTCCATTTAGGTAGAACTGGCCGGCCAGTCTATTTAGAGGTATATTATGCTTTCTGACAAATGAAAAGCGCCCTGTAACAGTAAACCCCCAAAAAGCAGGTCACATGAACCTTTCTGGCTTTGCAGTTTGCTGTGAACGTCATGTTTGAGCTCTCTAATTTATCAGTATCAAGATGAATCCACACAAGACCATTTTGTATTTTGGTCTCAACACATCGTGACTGCCTAACAGATAAAACAATCTTGTAATTTATAATCTTACAATAAAAATTGTAGAGTGCAAGTCACATAAGCATGAAACAATTCTTAACTATGTAGTGCTAAATAAGATTTAGTTATCAACTAACTAAGAATTGAGAACAATGCTACAAAGGAATTTAAATAATTGGCATTATTTTTATGCTTTGTTAAATTCTTAGTTAGTTGATAACTAAATCTTATTTAGCAATACATATTAAGAATTGTTTCATGCTTATGTGACGTGCACTCTATGCTTTGCTGAATTCTTAGTTACTTGATAACTAAATCTTATTTAGCAATACATATTAAGAATTGTTTCATGCTTATGTGACGTGCACTCTAATGCTGTTTTGAAGGAGCTCTTGGTTTAGAGCTAAGTTATTGGCTCTCAAAATAGTACAAGTTGTAATGTTTTTGAAAGGCACCCAACCCCATCTTGCATCTTTCTTATCTATTATATTTCTCTAATAACATAGTAATATTTCATTGATACAATTATTATTGTGTTTGTACAGGTAATTATCCTGAATCACCCTGGTGAGATCCATGTTGGATATTCCCCAGTGCTGGACTGTCATACCAGTCATATTGCCTGCAAGTTTGCTGAATTCAAGGAGAAGATCGACAAGCGATCTGGTAAAAAACTTGAAGAAAACCCTAAAATGTACAAATCGGGAGAAGCTGGTATTATCACTCTAATCCCATCCAAGCCAATGTGCGTGGAGGCATTCTCAGAATTCCCACCCCTTGGACGTTTTGCTGTCCGTGACATGAAGCAGACAGTTGCCGTCGGTGTTATTAAGTCTGTTAAATACAAGGAAGGAGGTGCAGGAAAGGTCACCAAGGCCGCACAGAAAGCCGGCAAGAAGAAGTAAAGGCAGTAATTACATCATATTAAAATGCAGTTCATGTTGTAATTTTGTTTGGTTTTGGTATTGTCACGACTCGAGAAGCGAGTTAAAGCGACTATTAAAATAGACAGAATCCTTAATTTGTTGTTTGGTTTGTTTGTGTAGTATATTCCCAAATGTATGAAATGGCAAGTCAATTCTCATTTCTGTGAAATCGCTTAAACCCTAGAAGGTATACTTGTAAAAGAAAGCTGTTTGAAAAGTGTGAAAACAAATGCAGGAAAAAAACATGAAATAAAATCAAACTAAATACTAACATATAGTGGCGACCATTTTTCATTCATCTTCATTGTGTCCTGGTTCATTGATACTGACAAATTGTCTCTAAATAGCTATTAGTATTCAGATTTTATTTTGTGGCTTTCCCTTTGTTGCTCTATGTGAAGCCTGTGTGTGTTCTTAAAAAAACTGTTTCGATTTACACAATTTTAAGCAAAAAAAAATCGGTTCGGATAAATCTCTGATTTTCTACAATTCTCGAAAGTAGCCATAGCCTGCTAGCAGGCGTTCCCTTCCTCTACTCCTCCCCATTCCTTCTCGGCTACCCAGCAGGAACGCATGTTAGCAGGTTAAAGTAGCCAATAAAAGCTGTAATGGGTCTCTGTGGAGGGTCGTGGATGATAAAGAACGCGGAGAATTCGGGACTGACTGATGACGTCAACCCAGGAATAAAGAGATTTCTGATGGAAATCATATATGGCTATTTCCTCTAAAACAACAAAAATAACAAGGTTATGACAGAATGAATCAAAAGACTTCGCTTTTGCGCACAATTCCACCCGGTTTTCACGCAGACCAATTCCTGGGTGTACATCACTATCGGTCCCAGTCTCTTGGAAAGAAACGACGTCGGTGAGGCCATTGAGTTGAGATGCAATCAAATTAGAGATTTATCCAAATCGATTTGTTTTTTCGCAGAAGTGCGTAAAATTATGTCTATAATTATACAAACATTACTCCAAATAGGGAGTTAGGTGCGGTATGGTAAATGAAGCTTGTCTCAACGTCAAATACTTTGAAAAATGGTAGCAAAGAGACTATAAAACTGGAGAATGAGGCTTGTTGTGAGCTTTCCGTCCCTAAGTTTTTACTGCCAATGACAGAGTTGAATGAGTTAGAGCGGATTTCGTATGAGTGGGACACCGTTACCGCACGGTTACCGCACAGTTACCGCACCTGGCCTGCACAATTTTGGTGAACCAATGGGGCACTAGAATTTGGTTACACAGTACGATTACGGTCACACTACAGTACCGTCCGTTTCCCACTCATACGAAATCCGCTCTAGTGTGGAGAACCTCGACTTCATTGCCTTGTGAAATTCGAAAGTCAGCTATTTTCGTAACTTAATATCTCTTTTCATTTCTGAACTTGTGATATGTGATTAATTAAAGAAATTAGATGATGACATTTAAAGCAGTTCGACGCTCTTGAAGCGTTTAGTCGGGCTAGGTGGTTTGGGTTGGGCCAATGTCAGTGCGCTTTCCATTTGTCAGAACTGGCTGGCCAGACCCAGAGAAAATGTCATTATATGTCATTCCCATTTAGGAAATTCAAATTTTCAAATTCTATCCATTATTCTACAGAAAACCTCGAAATGACTGAAAAATGTTGACAAAAAGCATAATATACCTCTAAATAGAGTGGACTGGCCGGCCAGTTCTGCCTAAATGGAAAGCACCCTAAGCTTCGATTCTCGATCTGAGGAGAGAAGGCTCACAGGCTCTTGATCAGGCGCGCGTAGGCAATTGTAACATGTTTCGTAACAAATGATTCTGGTTTTGATTTTCAATGAGTATATTATCTTTATTCTGCTTCATCATTTATTAACGTCGATTTATTTTGCCCATTATTTTACCCATCATTACATTAATTATATCGATTTACTCCCGTTAAGCGAAGCAGTCTTGTTGTGGTAAGCTAACCAGAATCCTGAAAAGAAAAATGTTTGTTTTCAGGAATTAAAAAATATTTAGAAACTAACAGCCGTGGGCGCTCCATACCCTAGCTTTGCCCTGAATAGTCATTTTATTTATTTTCGAGCGAATGACCGCTGTTTTATTTGACGGCAGTTTCTCTTACGCCAAGAACTTACCAAACACGAAAAACACACCCAACTTTGGCTGAATTTTTTCTCGAAAAAAAATTATTATCAAGAAATAAACGAAAACTGCAAATTGACCTTCAAACCATTTCCACATTTTAGGACGTCATTATTTTAATTTATGATTTGTATTTTCGGTGAATAGCTAGTTTGATGATGCAATGGAAATTTCGCGCCATTTATGTCGATCGGCCTCCGCTTTTGAGAATTGCATGCTAGAATAACTTGCCTGTTCCGAGCTGTGCTTCCCGTGCGCAAGAATTTCCTCCAATAAACTTTAAATGCCCATGTGCACCCGATAAACTTTGCGATCGTTTCTTTTGCGTTACAAATGATCTGATATTGAAAGGAGCTTTTTGATTGGTCCAAAATCAAAGATAGCAATTTTTCGTATGTGAAATAATCTTGGATGCACAATGGCCACTAATACGTACCTTACTTACGGCAGCAGTAGAAGATGGCTTCGTTAAGGGCGGTGTCGTCGACCTTAGTCCCTTGCCAACTTTCAACTCTGGTCCTTATTCCACAAATCGCGGACTTAGGTGGACAGGCTACAGGGTGTTTATTCCATGAACCCCAACGTGAACCGTCACCAATCAGTGGTCTCCAGTATCGATGGTTACATGTAAATTTGAAATTGTTTGCTAAACGATAAGTAAATAAATCGAAATAAACTTGCTATAAAACACATAAATAGCTTTTTCGCAGATAGAGTCGCTTGTACCGTGAAACTGACAATTAAAGAAGTAGTACGGCTGTCAGTTTATATTTATTGATTAATTCTATACGGCTGTCAGTTTATATTTATTGATTAATTCTATACAGTTGATATCACCGAACCAGAACAATCTATATATGAAAACAAAAGGTAACTAAACTTGTAAACTAGAGACTTGAAAGCTACACGTGATTACATTCACATGAAATAAAATGATGCAGTTGTCTAGTCTTGCGTATTGCCTTTTGCTTTCATGAAATGCTTTGGTTCAGTTATATCAACTATATGTCAGTAAATAGACGGAAATCCGCCATGTTTGTCCCAAACATATCCTACAATGCATTGCGTATACGGTACATGACGTAAAAGCTTCAGAGGTCTATAACTAGTATATATGACTAACTTGGACTATAGCCCACCAAAAACGCCGAAAATCGTGTAAATCTTAGCCCTAAAGTATACCAACTCATGAGCAGTAACTTCTCTAATATTTTTTTGAAATAGACAACGAAACTTAAATTCATCTTACCAGCTGTGTCATCGCCGGAACCCTGATGAGACTCGGATTTAATCTCTACTCCCGTTAGAAATAATCTTCTAGGGCAGAATTTCGAATGTCCCCAGCTTCCCCAACGCTCAACAGAGGAATGGATGTGGGTTTGATGTCCTGTATCTCCACGACCTTTTCTATAAGAGTGCAACAGCGCTGCATTCAATATTTTGGTTGATAATACAAAATTACACAAGAAGCGTCTAGCGATCTGACCGTTAAAGAACGAAACTGGGAATCAGTCAATGTCAACCACAGGCAGCCCATCTGTTGCATGCTGCCAGGACAAATAGAAAACTTGGGTGTTCCATCGCCAGCAGAAGGGCAAAGCCCTATCTCGAACTGTATCACAGTGTAAAAGTTTAAGTTCGAGATCAGGTCTGAATGGGACAGAAAATGAGCAAAAGAAGGAACTGGATGACTTTTTGTTTGTATTTTCTCATCTGGACAACTGCAGGTAATGTAAATAACAAATATATTTTCAAAATGCTGGATTCGTCCCTAGCTGCTAGTAATGTTCTATCTTAAAACCCTTAGAAATTAACAGCAAAATTACGTTCATAATGTATAATTCAATTCAAAGCATTTTCACTCGAGGTAAAAATTTCATACTTTTTGCTGATATACTATTATGGATATAGGGATGAATGATAATTTTCCAATTCCGAATGCATGCTGCAGCTCTTTACCCCGGCGGCTGTACTCGACCCCGTTTTGGATAGGTACGTGCCCCAGCGGTCTAAAACCCTGACCCTGTTTTAAGACACTAGAAAGTGAAAATCCATACACTGTTCAAGACAAATCGGAAAAATAAGGAATCGCTATCTACGCCGCAACCATCAAAACTGCAATTATACTGACATCCATCAAAGACAACCAGACGTTTTTGATAACACGTTAATCCTGGTACAGTGAATCGGTAGACCCTGTTTCGAGTGAAATGTATACCCTGTTTAAGACAGTAAGGCCAAAAACCATACCCTGGCCAGCGGCACGTACCATGGTATAGAAAA